GTTTCCAAAAAAACATTGCGCAAATATCAACACATTTCTTAAAACGTTGCCCACTATCCCAACCAGCGTGTAAGATTGTTTCCCTGTTCTCATAGCACTTAGTATTTCCCTCCTCAATATTTATAATACTCTTGTAATTACTCCATACTGGTGGGCAGGTGGTCACACAATGAGTTTAACCTGGAGGCTTTCTCTAAAAGACGGTGAGGAATTATTGAGGATTTGTGAGCAGAAGAGCAAAGCAATCTGCCTTATATTTTAGAAAGACTGATCTGGGGACTTCCCTGGTGGTCCAGTGGTAAAGAATCCACCTTCCAGTGCAGGGGCATTGGGTTTGATCCCTGGATGCGAAACTAAGATCCCACATGCCGTGGGACAACTAAGTCTGCGTGCCACCACTGTTGAGCTCGCGCGCCTCAACGAGAGAGCCCGTGTGCTGCAAACTACAGAGCCCATGCGCCCTGGAGCCCTCACACCACAACTAGAGAGAGAAAACCTCACTCCACAACCAGAGAGAAGCCCGAGCACTGCAACGAAGAGACCACGCGCCGTAACAGGAGATCCTGCATGCCTCAACGAAGATCCCATGTGCCGCAACTAAGACCCGACGCAGCCAAAAAAAAATAAGGAAAATTTTTAAATGAAATAAATAAATATTAAAAACACAGTGTTTAAAAGAAAAGAAAGAAAGATGGATCTGGTGGCAATTTGGAAAATGGGTTCAAGTAGGATGAGACTGGAGGCTGGCTAACCAGCAACTCTGAGGATTTTGTCTAGAAGTGTGGTGAGTAGAGGCTGAGTAAATTGATAATGGGACAAAGACCAAGGACATCGTTAAAAAATTAGTAATAAGTTCCGTTGACTCGCATGGGAGATAGATAGGCTGTGGGAAGTGAGGGAGAAAAAGAAGATGACGATGCTTGAGTTTTAAAGCTTAAATGATTTCTCCTTAAGACAGAACAGCTGGAATGTTTCCTTTCTATTGTTATCATTTCCGACTTTTCCAGAGAACCTGATCTGCAAAAGTCTTCCAGGAACTTATGTTCAGGGCACGAGTTTTCTACTAGTTTATCAGTGATTGTGTCATAGCTCTTAGATATTTCTTACTCAAAATCTACATGAAAAAAATTCTTAAAAGAAAATTCTTACACCAAAAAAGGAAGAAATGGCAATAAAATTTAGAACTGAACTCTGCTGAAATGTGTATCTGAGAATTCCTGGCAAGGAAGGATGTGAAGCCATCAGAAATGATGCTGTCTACTGCTCCACGACAAGTCATGAAAAGACACAGAGTGTTGCTCAGCAGGCATCTCTGTCTACTTGGATGTTCTCCAATTGAGTGGCAAGGAGAAACTATCCTTTGAGGAAAGAGGAGGGAGAGAGGATTTATCTGCCTAGATTCCTCCCAATGGATGTTTTCCAATGGTCAAAATTTTCCCCACAAGGAGAAAATGCCCCTGTACTTCTGGGTTGTGTCATCTAGTCTTTTCAGTAACCTCTTGGGATGCTAGACTCCAAACCCTGATATGGGGCATTCTGTCTAAACCCAGAAATGATGATCAGAACCAGAAATGCCAAGAGCGCGGGTGGTCAGTCAAGGCTGAGTCAACACACTCAGTGCGAGTTACTGGGTGGCCTTAGGTGGCAGATGACAGGGATAAGCAGAGTTTAGAGGACTGTACTTGATAGGTGGGGTAGTAGTTGGGGCCCTGGGAGATAGGCAGAGTTGAAGGAATCTGAAAGGACTCAGAAGATTTGTGCTCCATACATAACCTATTCTTCTTATCTATGTCATTGCTGCACACTAAGTGCTCTGTTCACATCATCTAATCTTTTTAACCTTATAGACATTTTACAGGTGAGGAAATTAAGATCCAGAGAGGTTACGTGTGTTGGCCAAGGCCACACTGCTAGAAATGCAGAACGATTTGGAAGGAATTTACGGGTCACAGTACTAAACTGGCAGGCTTGGAGGAAAGCTTCCTGCACTTGACTGTCAGTGTCGTGAAGTTGAGACCTTGTCTGTTCTGTTGCCACAGATGGTACGTGTTCAGTTAGCATTGCTTAAATGAATTTAATAAACAAGACACTCATTACTAGAAAAAGTATTATATTTGCAATTCTTTCTCCTTAACTTTCCTGTTATGTAATTTTTCAAAATCATAGGATTCTGGGCCCTTTTTGAATGCCGAAAAATATAGTTTAGAAGAAAAAAAAAGAGAGTTTTAATTATATACAACGTGAATTTTCATTGGTAGGAATACTTCTCTCACCTACAGTATATTATTTATGGAAAAGTGCTCACCTAGAGCAGAATGGAATCCCCATCTCATCATTTAGAAACAAATTGTTAAATTTTAACAATATACCAGCAGATTTTCTTTATCTCAAATGTTATACTTTAAGCATGTAACCTTAACTCCTATATAGTAATCAGTCATCAACAGTATAAAAGCCTTTGAAGCACAACACTTAGTAAGTTATTAAGATCCCATAGCTTTGAAAGCCCATAATATTACAGATATTTTGGGTTTTCCTTCTTTGACAGCTATAATTAAGTTTGTGTTTGATGATAGTTTGGTGAAAATTGAATATGGAAACATTATTTAATAACACAGCATCTTGAATAGTATATATGTCTGCCAATGACATATATATTCTGGGTCTAATATCAAGAAAGAAGAGGGAGGGGCTTCCCTGGTGGCGCAGTGGTTGCCGATGCAGGGGTTCGTGCCCCGGTCCGGGAAGATCCCACATGCCGCGGAGCGGCTGAGCCCGTGAGCCATGGCCGCTGAACTGAGCCTGGGTGTCCAGAGCCTGTGCTCCGCAACGGGAGAGGCCACAACAGTGAGAGGCCCGCGTACCACAAAAAAAAAGAAAGAAGAGGGAGATAATGTATAAAATGTGGTTTGCAGTTACATGGCTTTTTTATTTCTCACAAATGTAAAAACTGATCCTAAAATTTATATGGAAATGCAAGAGACCTCAAATAGCCAAAGCAATCTTGAAAAGAAAGAATAAAGCTAGAACTCGTATTTTCTTGTTTCAAAACGTCCTGGCATAAGGATAGATATATGGATTGATGGAGTAGAATTAAGGGTTCATATATAAACGCTTATATTTATCGTCAATTGATTTTTGACAAGGGTGCCAAGGCAGTTCAATGGGGAAAGAACAGTCTCCTCAACAAATGGTTCTGGAACAACTGGGTATCCACATGCCAATAAGTCAAGTTGGGCGCCTATCTCACACCATATAACAAAATTATCTTGAAATAGACATAAACCTAAAGGTATAAAACTATGAAATTGTTAGAGGAAAACATAAGTATAAATCTTTGTGACATTGGGTTAAACAATGGGTTCATAGATATAATACCAAAAGCACAAGTGACAAGATAAGATAGATAAAGTGGACTGTATTAAAATTAAAAAGTTTTGGACCGCAAATGATATCATTAAGAAAGTGAAAAGTCAACCCAAAGAACAGGAGAAATATTGCAAATCGTATATCTGATCAGGGACTTGTATCCAGAATGTATAAAGAACACTAACAATTCAGTAATAAAAAAGACAAATAAGCCAAAAAAAAAGGGGCAGTGGATATGAATAGCCATATCTCCACAGAAGATGTACAAATGGCCTATAGGCTCATAAATTATAAGTCGACATCATTAGTCATTACTGAGTTGCAAATCAAAACCACAGTGCGATATCATTTCACATCCCCGTGGGATGGCTATAATCAAAAAGGCAGACAGTAACAAGTACTAGAGACAATGTGGAGAAATTGGAGCCCACACTCATTGCAGCTGAAAATGTAAAGTGGCATAGCCACTTTGCAGAAAAGTTTGACAGTTCATCCAAATGTAAACCATAGAGTTACCATACGATCCAGCAATTCTAGGTATATACCCAAGAGAAATAACAACATATGTCCACACAAAAACTAGTACACGAATGTGCATAGCAGCATTATTTATAATAGCCAAGAAGTTTAAGCCACCCAAATATCCATCCACTGATAAATAAACTGTGATACATCTATACAATGTATATTGTATACAGTATTCACCTGTGAAACAGAGTGAAGTACTGGTACATAGTATAACATGGATGAACTTTGAAAATATTATGCTAAGTGGAAAGAAGCCAGTCACAAAAGGTAACATATTGCATGATTCCATTGACATCCAAGGTCCAGAATATAGAGACAGAAAGTAGATTAGTGGTTACCTAGGGCTGGAGGTGGGGAAATGTGGACTCATTGGTAATGGGTATGGGTTTTTTTTCGTGAGGTGATGAAAATGTTCTAAATTTAGATTATAGTGATGGCTGCACAATTCCATGAATATTTTAAAAACTACTGAACTACACACTTTATTTTTTTTAACATCTTTATTGGAGTATAATTGCTTTACAGTGGTGTGTTAGTTTCTGCTTTATAACAAAGTGAATCAGTTTTACATATACATATGTCCCCATATCCCCTCCTTCTTGTGTCTCCCTCCCACCCTCCCTGAACTATACACTTTAAATGGGTGAATTGTACAGGGGTGTTGAGGAGGTGGAGGGAACAGTTAACTTCTCTGAGCTTCAGTTTCGTCATTTGTAAAATACTTAGTCCATACGTTTTTTTTGTTTTTTTTGTTTTGCGGTACTTGGGCCTCTCACTGCCGTGGCCTCTCCCGTTGCGGAGCACAGGCTCCGGACGCGCAGGCTCAGCGGCCATGGCTCACGGGCCCAGCCGCTCCGCGGCATGTGGGATCTTCCCGGGCTGGGGCACGAACCCGTGTCCCCTGCATCGGCAGGCGGACTCTCAACCACTGCGCCACCAGGGAAGCCCCCAGTCCATACGTTTTTGTTGGAGTGAAGTGAAATGCCTGATGAGCATCTTGCCCTTGAGAAGTGCACGGCAATCGATACTCTTCAAGGAGGTGATTTGTAACCCATTTTCAGCGTGGATTTTAGAGACGATGATGAACAGGATGGGCTGTTTCCTAGACAAATTTACACGCAACCTCCATTTAATACATAATTTTAGAGGATTCAAGGCTCCTTGAAGCCCATCTACAGGTCCTCTAGGTCAGTATTTCTCAGGGGGTCTTCACTGGAATTCACTAATGGGGAACCGTGTTAGGAATTCAGATGTCAGCTCTGCTCCTCTGCATTAGAATCTACACGAGAACAGTCCTCTACGTTTTAAACTTACCCCACAAGGTGATTCATGTGCCCTCATTACCATACAGATTAAATGACCACAGTCAATATGTCCTGCCTGACATTTTGGGTTATTTGCAGGAATAAAAGAATGCAGCCCACGTGCACTCAGAATGTGCTTTTATGTGATTGGCTTGTCTTTCCCACAAGACAGCAAGCTCCCGAGTACTGGAAACTCTGCCCAGTAGCCTCCTTCACAGACCCACCCAGCAAAGGTGCTGTGACCTGAGTGAGTTCGTCACAAAGAAGGCTCACTGCCTGGTGTTACAGGAAAATTAGCCCCGTGTGATGGCTTCAGTTAGGGTCCAGCAGACACTGTCATTATTTGAGTTTGTAATACCTATTTTGCAATCCAATTCTCGGAAACGTAAAACATCTGAGATTTCCTAAGTTTCTCTATGAACATCAAATAGCTCCTTATTTAGTAAAAGTTACAAAGTCAAAGATACAAAATCAGCAGAGATTAAACCAGCTTTTGATTTGATTGTGCTTAAACCTAACTTTCAACAAATGTGTATGTACTTTATCTGCATAGGAAATGCCTTAAAAAATAACTTTTGTTTCATATATGTGTGTGTGTGCAAAAGAATAATCCCACATCATTCCAATGCTCACTGCCCGGAGGTAATCATGTTTTAATCTTTCATGAATATCTGTTCGTATCTATATAGAGATACATTTAGATAGGGAAAAATACACAGTCTGACATCATTTCCTTGAGAAGCCCTTCTAGCCCCATCCCAGTCTAGATTAGGTTTCCCTGTTACACCAATTCATAGCACCTGTACTTTTTTCTTGCTATCCCTCATTAGAGAAGAAATTATTTAGTTAATTAGTATAGATGTTTTCTGCTATATATTTCCACCATGAGATAAACTCAAGAATATATATATATTCCTGAAATATATATATTTCTTGAGTTAACAAGGGGTAATATTAAAGGTCTGTGTGTATGTGTGTGTTTCTAAAGCCAGTTAGCTGCCATCTCAAACATTTTGTCAGGAGCAATCATGAAAGCATCACATGGAAACGAAGAATGCTACTATTAGCTCTCATCAGGAACCACTGCCTCTGGTAGACTTGAAACAGAATAGGGAATTCACACATACACACACACTCTCACACACACACACACACGCAGAGTTTGTGAAAAGCGGTATGAGGCATAGAGGATACCTGGCTGAATTGAGCCTGGTCTGGTCATCTTTACTGAGTGTCACTGAGAGCCTTCTCTAGGTGGGGGCAGGCACCCTCTCATCTAACTCTAAATCTTATGTCAGACCCATGTTGGTTTTCAATGAAATTTCATTAGGCTTCTGGTGAGGGTACTAAGAGTTCCAGGAAATGACACTGCTCATTATTTTAGAACTTTCTCTAGAGTATAAAAACTCAGTCTCAGTTGTCAGCAGAAAGATGTATAAAGTTGTACAAAGCTTTATCTTCTTAAAGCCTCAGTTTCTTCATCCTTAAAATGGGTGTAATAATACCTACCTCAAAGTCTGGGAATAATATGCATTGATGGAGTTAAAACTGAAAAGGATTCTTGAGGGGCCCATTGATATTTCTCCATAAATAGAAGAGTAAGACTACCTCGAAGCTCTCCACATCTGAGACCCTCCATCCTCACTCCCTGCAGGAAAACATTTCACTGAACTTCCCTACTGAAACATTTGCTCTTATTGACAGTAAGGGCAGAAATTGAGGTAAGGCTATGAAATGATCTATCAAAGCTATTACCATTGTCACCTTATTCCGGATTTTTAAAAAAAATTTTTTACTGGAGTATAGTTGATTTACAATGTTGTGTTAGTTTCAGGTGTTATTCTAGATCTTTACCCAAAGAAAACTCGCCCTAGAAAATAGAAGTCTGACAATCATTGTATATGTCACCTTCTGAAGCTGAAGAAATCAGAAAAGCCTTTGATTGTTACTATCAGATAAGAACTAGCTGGCATTACACTTCCTTTTCTGACTGTGCAGAATTAAAATATGCAGCTTCACTTGAATGTTTTTGGAAATACTGCTTCACGAAAAAGCTGGACATAAAAGACCACACATTATATGTTTCCATTTATATGAAATGTCCAGAAAAGTTAAATCCTTAGAGACAGAAATCAGATTGGTGGTTTCCAGGGGCTGGAGGGAGAAGACGGGGAGAAGTGACCCCTTAAGGGATACAGGGTTTTCTTTGGGAGTGATGAAACTGTTTTGGAACTAGATAGAGGGGGTGCTTGCACAACACTGCAAATATACTAGATGCCATTGAACTGTACACTTTCAAGTGGGTAATCTTATGTGAATTTCATCTCAATTAAAAACAAAAAGGGAGGGGTGAAGAAAGGGACTTTCCAAATGCTGTGTTCTTAAGAAGTCCTGTCTCAGTGAAAAGATGACTAAGGTGTGAGGCATAGGTCAATCCCTAGAACAGCTGGCAGAGTGAAGAAAATGCCCAAGGGCAGAGTGTACTCTGCACAAGGACTTGGCGGGATGGGGTGTGGAAAGTGCTGCGTTGAGATCCCCCCTCATTTACTGATTCAGGGTTCCACCAATTCAACAAATGGTCCTTACAAAGACCAAGTACAACCAAGTCCACTTATTGTTAATTGTGTGTCTCCTGTTGTTAGAATCTCAGCTCCAGAGTCTCTGGATATTTTATTAACATTTTAGTGAAAGCCTTAAAATGGTGCTGGCTCAAAAACAGTTGCTCAACAAGGATTTTCTAGAAGACTAAAAATTCTGTAGTTCTGTTTAAGCACGTTCCTTTCTGTAGCAGTGTGAAGTCTGAACAAGGTCCAAGTGAAGCAAAATTCTATAGCCCTTTCGGAAAACTTCGCTATCTCCTGTTGCCTAAGGTGAAACTAGAAACACCCACGTCCAGGTGCTGGGGTTGTCATGTCTGAGCTATCCCACCCTAGCCCCGCACCCAAGGGGCCAGACTGCATAGCTCTCCTGCTCTGTTCATCCTTTGAGTGGGACCTTCTCTGCTGGGGCAACAGCCCACTGGAGGAGTATCCTTGGAAGAGTAGGGGGGCCGAGGCTTTGCGTAGAAATTGTGAAAATGCTGCCAGTACTGGTCAAAAACTCCTGGTGGTCTGTGATAGTCATAGTGATAGAGCACTCCAGGAGATTCCTGAAACTTCATTGCTAAACTTCCTGCACATCTGCTTCTCTCGGCAGGGTGAAGCCCATGATCCAGCCATTACCAGAAGGCACTGGGTCAGTTATTTGGAAGCAAAGATAAGCCCATGGGAGTCCAAAAGCAAAGCTAAGACAATTCTGTTGAGTCTGTCAAGTCCTGTTACCCAAATATACCCATAAATGGGGTAAAACTTTTAGGGATGCTCTACAGACTGTCCTAGATCTGATTATCACACAATAAATATTTCCAAATACTTGCTGTGAACATGAAAGGATGAACAAAATGCATATTTCTGCTTTGATTAATCTATGAGGAGAGGGGATTTCATAAAATTTTATTCAAAATAGAAAATAATACGTGCCATTACAAAGGGAGTTAAGAATAACTTCTGTGCCTTAATCTCTCTTTCTACTCGTATGTATTTGTATAATGCGGTTTCTTAAATTACGGTCCAAGGGCCTTCAGCATGATGATTATCAAGGGTGCTTGGTAATATGCACATTCCCAGGCACGGCCCTGGATCTACGGAACATCTCTGGGAGCAAGACCTGGGAAATATGCAGTTTCAAAATTTCCTCAGGTGATTCTTATGCACATTAATAGTTAACAACTCGTTCCATAGTACATTATAATTTATTACACTTGCCCATGTATTTTCTTCTTGTTCCTCTCCAAGTCACAAGAAGGGTAAGCCAGATGTGTCTTTCATCTTCTAAATGAGGAAACAGAAACTTGGAGATGTTCAATTCAAGGCTGTAAGTTAGTTTGTGGCAGAGCCAGAAATTGAACTTGGATTTGCCTGATTCCAGACTGCGTCTTGACCTACTACTCCAGGCTGTGCTTGGCCTCTACTAGAAAAAAAAAAAAAAGAATCAAAATATGAGATGACTGGGATATGTTTTGGTAGGGATAAGTCTTTTATACAAGGAGGGCAGTTAGTACTAGGAGAAACACTGCCATCTTGTGGCCAACTGAGAGCAAAGTGTAGCCTTGTTATTTATTTATTTTATTTTATTTGAATTAATTAATTAATTAATCCTCTATGTAACTGAAAACAACTTGAGTGCTAGTTGTAACTTAAAAATGTAAAACAAAACATTGTTTCTGATCATCTAATGACAAAATTGGGGCCTTGGGGTTAATATAGAATTGTAAGTGCACTTTTTGAGGGCCACCCCCTCTCCGTCTGACCAAACGGCAGTGACACACAACACATTTTAAAAGAAAAACTAAAAGGCACAGCCAGGCTAAAGAATAAGAAATCCTTCCTTGCTAGAAGAATGGAAAACAACAGCAAGATAATTAATGACCTGGACAGAAGCCAAAGCCTCGTGAGATCAATGCCTGGAAGGAAAGCAGAGTTTGCTCCTGGGTTTAGCCAAGAATAAATGGGCCCACCTGGGGCAGAGGACAAGAGCCAGGCTCCCTTCTTAAAATCGGGGACTGAGGCAGAGCTTTCTGACTGGTGAAAGACAGCTAAACAGAACTTCTGCCAAACACTGCCTGGGACTATGGCTTATATGATGCTGTGGGGCTTGGGATCTGGGAAGACCTAGGCACAACCTCATGACATGGAACTGAGCCAAGCTGCCCCCAGATACATGACTGAATATGTGACAGCCCCAGTGTCACCAAGGGCTGTGAGTTGCAAAACGCATCTGTAAATCCAGGCTCAGAACTGGGGACTCTGAAAGCCCTGGTAAAAGAAGCCACAAAACTACTAGATAGAGGTGAGTGAAGAGAAATAAGAAAAAACCCAAATCTGTTATTCAAGATGAACCTACAGAGCTCAAAAATACAAGAAGAAAATCACACCAGAAAAGCCACACTATAAAATCAGCATGAAATCACTGCAATTAAGGTTAAGATAACAAAGCAATTCTAAAAGAGACTTTAAAATAACTGTAAGATCCTGAAAGAGACAGATGGTAGAATAAAATCTATTGAACTCTAATAAATTGCCAGTGAAAAACAAGCAGAAATAAAACAGGTACAAGTGAACGTGTGAAAGAAGCCCTTAGAAATGTTAAGAATGAAAAATGTAGACAACAAACTATATACCTCAGTGGATGTAATACTCCAGCCTGATTAGTAAGAAAGAAAAGAGTTAATTTGAAGAGAATGAAGAGGAATTCCCCCAAATGCAATATATAGAGACAATTATACTAAAAAATTTAAAAAGTAGAAGTAAGAGACCTGAAGAATAAGCCAAGAAGCTTCGCCAGATAATACTAAGAGTTTCAAAAGAAACTCTTCTGAAAGAGAAAATAGCTGAGAATTTTCCAGACAGGACAGAAGCTACAGCCCTATCTTACTGATTAAAAATTTACTCTTATTAAATAAGTTCAGTAAAAACAAATCTACATCAAAGCTCGTTGTAGTGAAACAGCAGAACACCAAGGAAAAGGTAGGGGAAACTTTAAAACGTATCAGAATTTAAAAACAAACATTACCTTTGAAGGAATGATATTTAGACCAACAGCAGACATTCCATCAGCAGCGATAAATGTAAGAAGACAGTAGATTAACATTTTCAAAGTGATGAGGGAAAACTGCAAGTATTCTGGCATAAAATTCTATACTCAGATACATTACCTTTCAGGAGCAAGGACGGACAAAATTCTAAGTTGCATTGATTATATACCTTATCCAGACAGCTCTACAGAAACTGATGATTCAATAGCTAAAAAGTTTCTGATCAAATCGACGTTGGGAGAACTCCGTATGCAAACCAATGAGGAAGACCAAGATGTCTGAGTAAGCAAGTCTCACCATATGATCTACGACCTCTTTCTACAAATAACCTTTTTTCTACAGCTCACGGGTGACACTCTTACCCAGGATGTCCGCCACAAAGAGGACCAGACCAGGTTCACCACAATAAGGGTGATCTTGAACCAAGGGCCACCTCAAGCTCTGGATCATGGCTGTGATTATTGGGAACAGTCACACTCAAGTGAAACTATGAGGGAAAAAGCCATACCACCAAGTCCCAAGACCTTCTCAACTTCCCTCGTCCTCCCAAAGGAACCTGAAATTCTCGGATTGGAACTTACCAGAATAGGTACAGGATGTTCTCTAACTCAACTTCACCTTGCAAAGTACAAGGTGAAGATACTGTGGATTCTGTTCTAGACCACTGCAATAAAGCAAATATCGCAATAAAGCGAGTCACACAAATTTTTTGGTCGCCCGCTGCATATAAAAGTTATGTTTCTACTATACTGCAGTCTATTTAGTGTGTAATAGCGTTATGTCAAAAAAATGTACATACCTTAATTTAAAAATGCTTTAGTGCTAAAAAATTCTAACCATCATCTGAACCTTCAGCAAGTTGTAATTTTTTTTGCAACAGTAACATCAAAGATCACTGATCACAGATCACCATAACAAATATAATCATAATGAGAAAGTCTGAAAGATTGCGAGAATTACCGAAATGTGCATGAAGTAAGCAGATGGAAAAAAAAATGGCGCTGATAGACTTGCTCGATGCAAGGTTGCCACAAAACCTGTTTGTAAAAAACACAGTATCTGTGAAATGCAATAAGGCGAAGCACAATAAAATGAGGTGTGCCTGTAGGACTTCCGCTTCTGGCCGTGAAGATTAACTAGTATCAGACTTGCCCCCCTGCTGTCTAGAACCAGAAAACCAGGTAACAGATAGTGCGGACTATCCCTCAGAGAAGAGAAACTAAGGAGGTGATCTCTATGACCACTCAGCCTTCCTGCCCACAAGCCCTTTCCCGATCCTAGTACAGGAGGAACTCTAAGCAGAGAACAGTCATCTTGTCAAGTTGAGGGGCAGAAGGTTAAGTTTAGGAGGCGGAGGCTGCCAGGCTTTTCGGAACAGAATACTGAAAAGAAGGAAGCTACACAGAAAAAGAGTTCCAGAAATCGGTACAGAGATTCTCTGGAGTCTTTGGATGATACTACGCGCACATGCAGGGATAAGACTCCAAGACCAGCAAAGAACAGCTACGGGTGCTGTAAGCAGAACAATTCCCAAAGCTGACATAGGAGTAGGAGACTGTTGATGCTCCAACCAACCAGAGTGAAGAGATCCCGTTGAAAAGCCACAGAGAGTACTGGACTTTAGTAGTAGGGCTAAACCAGCCATAGAGTCAAGGTTGCCAGATCTGCCCTAACAAAGATATAGACCTGAACTAACAATGCCGTAACCAGTCCAAACTGAGATGTGCTTGTAAGTATAAATAAAATACAAACCAGATTTTGTGGGCTTTACTATGAAAAAAAAATGTAAATTATATCATTAATAGTTTTTATACTGCTTACATTTGAAATGATAATATTTGGGAAATGATGGGTTAAACAAAATATATTATTAAAATTAAGTTTTAAAAAAGAGAGCTAGTCCAGTGGTCACTATGTAGCCAGAAATGGAAAGTATGCAGGAAGGATTATTTCTAAATCCCCATTTAGCTTTCTTACCAGTAAAACCAACCCTTTGAAATATTTACTTTCTTAACCACACGTTCAGTGCCTGATATATAATCCTGTTATAGTAAATCCTCACATAATAATTAATTATGTGTTTAGGAGAGGGGTATTTTTGAGAGTAACAGCCTATGGAGGAAATTATTTAACTACTAAAGGGCTTTAAAAAGGAAATACCTCCTAAGAGACCAAAGGAAGGATGAAAGATTTATAAACAGGTTACATTTAGCAATAGATGGAAAAAAGAAAACAAAAACAAAAAGCAAGGCCCCACCAAAAAAAGAGATAACCACAGATACCAAAAACATGATTTTAATTAAATAGTTTTACCTATATTTTCTATTTCCAAACATAAGAGGAAAACACCTTCCATCAATGGAAGCTCTTTAGGTAGTTCTGAGTATCTGTTTCAGCTTATAACTGTCTTCAGCTTACAACTATATAAATATTAATAGTATTTATTAACATTCACATTTAGTATAAACTTTCGAAAGTGTTTAATGTAAAAGTAAGGAAGTGGTAGTGGGGAAAGGGGCTTGTTTGTCTAAGAAGCTACAGGAAATAACAAGAGCAATTCCTGAAACCTGACATGATTTCACTTTTGTTCTGTATAAGCTGCCTTTGCATCAAGAGAGAACACATGGGGAGTTACTGAACATTTTGTGGCAGGTGGAGCAAAATAAGAATCTACCTTATCAGCTTTGGTGATAGACATGGTTCGTGCTATGCCACAAAGCTACCTTCCGTAAGACCAGTTAGTCTCTCCAAACTAAGCTAGGTGTTTCCAAGGGCAGTCCCAGCTTTGCATGAATCAGTTAAGTGTTTCTTAGGCAGTCCTTCCAAGTCTGGGGGTGCACAGGCCACCAAGACGCACATCAAGGAGAAAATGGAGAGGTGCCAATGATCTAGTAATTCTTTCCTGATCAAAATGTTTTGACACCTGAGAAAGAAGTGGATTATTTTGATCCAAAGTGACAAACAAATATAAAATAGCCAAGCATTATAACTGAGTCTGCATTTTCTATGTGAATTCAAAATTGAAATATTTCACCACGAAATGCCAATAATCTGTGCAAAGACCTTTGAGGTAGAACTTTATTATATTCTACATTCAGATGTATGTGTAAGTTTTCCCTGAGTACGCTCCTCTCAAAACTAAACAAAATTTACAAATATGGTAAAATCTCTAGAATTATCAGTGGAGCTGGGGAGGTCATTTAGAGCCAGTTGATTGTGACAGGACAACAAAAGATCACATCTACGGATTTATGGAATGAGGTCAGCCTGTGGATAGGCATTTGTATTTACATATGGTAATTACATTCATACTTACAGAATCATATGTTAGATACTCGAACATGATCTGAAATCTTTTGTCCTTTGCATACGTTCTTTTTTGCGCACTTAACATGCCCCTGTATTTACTCTTAACTGTGTCCGTCTTCCCAGCTAGATTTTAAACATCCTTGAAGGCAGAACCATGAGATGCTCAAAGCCTGTAAATATATTAGCTCTACAAATCTAATAAATGAAAAAAGAAAACACACCCAGTAAAAAAAAAAAAAAGCCAAGCAATATTTATAGCTTGCAGCTACCCAGAACTTATTCGAACATTAATCTTTCTTTAGTATATTCTTAGAACTGAGTTAGTTGTTTTTCACTTTAAGCCAAGCTTTCATTTTCATTTTGCAAGTCTGCATTTTCATGTTCACTAGTAATGTCCTTCTGGACTATATCTTGAATTTTCTCTGCAAGGGCATGAAGTTTGGCTTTTCTGAGACTTTTAATCAAAGTGCAATATGCATCTTTCTTCCCATGACTTTGATACCAATTACGGAGCAGTTGGACTTTCTGTTCAGCTGTATCTTGGGGATTGTCGTGCTTGATCTCATCTATTTTAGTTTCCTCCATACCATTCTTCCGAACAAATTCTTTAACTTCAGTTATTTTCATTTGTTCAGCAATACTAATGATATGTTTTCCCAAGTCAATGTCTGAAAAATAGAGAATAGTCTCTGAAAATTTGTTTTTCTAAACAAAATTCCCACTTCTGAAAACCATGTTTATTTCTCCTCTTACAGTACTTAAGAATATGGGTAAGTCCTAGAGATCTAAAGAGCCAGTCAGGGAAAAACAAAAACAGAAACAACCTTGAGTTCTAATCCCAATTCCTCCTGTGTCCCCAGTAATTTGCTCTATTACCTGGGCAAGATACATAACATCTCTGTGCCTTCTTTTCTCATCTATAAAGTAAGAGGGCTGGAAAAGATCACCTCTAACATCCGTTATGTATTTGATGATCAATGACCCACACATCTAAAAGGCTGGCCAAGAGTTTATATGACCATCTTATCACTGACTCACAGGTCGAAGAACAGAACAGAATAGAATCATGAATGTTGTTACGGAACTAGGATACACCAATAATAACTGAGTCTACAATTCAGATTAGCCTCCGAGTCAATGTAGCAGGAGTTCTATACTACACCTAACTGCTTGTGAAGGAAAATTAAGCCTTCAGAATACAGCATCTTATGTTACCTGAGTATTGGTTATACATTTAAACAAACTGCTTAATAAACCCTTTTTGGTGAGCAGGAAGAACTGGAACCTCAAGAAACGGCAAGACCCCACTATATGTTACTGAAATTCACAAAATTATTTAACTCTAAGATGAGCCTGTGACTCCTAAGGAAGCCAACTCGATGAAATAAAATGATAAAAGTTTTACCTGTGAAATTCAGTGGCATCATTTCCTGGGGAGAAAAAAAAATGGAGGGAAGGAGAAAGATAAAATATACTTAGAATACTCTAAATGTAACAGAATACTCTAAACGTAATAAAATACTCTAAATGTATAAATTTAGACTAAGTGACTAAGGAGGATTCTTTCACCATTCAAATTTTTATTCTGAAAGTTTCCAGTCTAACCAGAAACTAAGGAATATTGGCTTTTTTTTTTTTTTTTTTTTTTTAAGGAGGCAAGGAACCTAAGTAATTTGTGGAATGTGCTGAGATTATTCTTTATATAGACTCATGAAAATAGACATAATAACCATAATCATTCTAAAATTTTCTTTACTGTAACTATTCTAATTTTTGACACGACAACATAGTTTAAGTTGAAATGATTTTGTACCATATTGATTTAAAGAACCCTAAGCCTCACTGGCCCCAAATGAGAAAATCGTTATTCATCAAGTGAACTGGTTACTCTCCCCAGTGTATCTTTTGCTATATGTGTGTGGGGTTTTTTTTTTTTTTTTTGGCCGCTCTGTGTGTGGCTTGTGGGATCTCAGTTCCCCGACCAGGGATTGAATCCTGGCCACGGCAGTGAAAGCCACTAGGCTACCAGGGAACTCCCTCTTTTGCTATTTGAAATGCTTTGATTCCATGTTGTAAAAAGATATGGTGACAGATAAGGTAACAAGTGTCTGGAGAGAGCTGAGTTGTACCTTTACAATGGCTTTAAGTGTTATCTCTGTGCCTGGACTTGGATACGGAATCCCTGCTCTGGTAAAGGATGTCTCTCTGCATTTCTCTTCAGGATAATACCAACATGGAACATGGAAGCTTGGCCACACCCTTTTCTCAACTCCCTTTGTGTGAGAATTTATTACTAAGAATTAATTCTTGTTATTTGTATAGAAGCTTCTTATCAACTGGGAACCATATCTTAATTCATTTTTGATGCCCCTCTAACCCATGCACACACAGGCATCATAAATGTTTGTTTTTAAAAAAGTAAAAGTAAAAAGCTGAAGGACTACCTTCTCTATTTTTTTAAGAAGGCTGATGCATGTTTCAACACTTACAGTATTTGAGGCGATAGATTTCTGGTGACCATTCTTTCTATTCCTGCGCCATCTTTTCACCACTGAAAGATCCAAGAAATTTCTATCAGACTCAGGTCTCAGCCTTGTAGGAAGCATGTGAGAATATACTCTCAGACTAAGAGAAGTGTGAGAAGAAAGGAGAAACTCATTCATTGAAATTTAAAGCAACCGAGCACCATAGAGGCAGATTCATCCTGATTTTGAAAATTCCATCCCACCGAGTCAAGTGGTCTAGAGATATGCCACACCTTAATGGAGCCATCCAGTTACCACACACTGGCCTAGCCTGAAGCTGGCTTTTGACTTATTGTATGGCCATCACCACTCCCTCTCTCTGGCTTGAAGCTGGGCACAGAAGCCATAGGCTATGGAAAGTCGACATCAGTTTGCCATGAAGTGGCATTCAATGCCCCAAAACTCGAGCACACACACTCACAAATAATTCAAATATATATACTCAATAAGTGTATGCCTTGAAGTCAGTATGAGGTGGAAGAAAGAAATCTAGAAGTCTCCAAGCACAATTTAAGTGTTTATATTTTTAGTTAAACAATCTCTAATGGCAAGGCAATCTCTTTATCTTCAGCTGACCTGGAGAAACAGTGATTTGTTTCAACAGAAAAAGAAAAATTGGATGTTTCAGAGTTATTGAAAGTTGGCACCACCATGTGTTGTATGAATGATCTAAAGGGATTTTTCTAGAGTAATTATAAGTACAGCCAATTTTGGTTTACGTGCTGACTTTACTAAGTAACCCTCGCATAAAAGGTATTGCCACAGTATTTTAAGTTAAGGTGGAGAAATAATCAAAAAGCATGGAGTCTGGACAAGAGAAAGGAGGCACAGACAGGGGTGAATTTATCAAGTGTCCCCTGCAATGCCTTCGCTCCTTGAATTCTCTTTGTGCATGGGATGATCTCAATGTAGACTGAAGGACTACTTCCGATTCTTGGCCAACTCAGCTACTGCCTAAATACAAATACCCTTGTTCATGGGGAGGGTGGGAACACCCAATCAGTGCCCCAGAATGGTTGCTCAAAAACAGTAGCTGAGAGATAACATCATCTGTTCTTACCAGCTCTCAGGGGTGCATTTAGAAACAGGAATTTTAACACCATACCAGAGATGCCTACCGGGTAGGAGCTTTCTTTCTCCTGGTAGGTAGGAGACAGGAGGGAATTCTTGTGAACAACTACTTCCCAAGTTACTTCAATCTACAGTTTGAACAAAGTAAGAACTTACCCAAGTATATTACTGCAGGTATTGGAATGATCAGGAGGGCCCATAAACTGTATAAGTTAGATCTGGATCCTGTAGATTGGAACACTGGACATGGTGAATGAACGTAAGCAATTTTTAAGATTAAAACGAAGTACTCTCAAAGAATCAAAAGTTTTGGATTGGCTTTTCTTCATATTTTACAGTGGGGTTGGAAGAAAGGAGAATATAATCATAAAAAGGAATAATTACCTTCTCTGCATTTGGTGTTGCTGGTTGGTGTGCATTTCTCAATGATTCCATGTTCACACCTAGAAAAAAATACAGAGGGAATTCAGAAAGCCTGGTGGACTGATTCCTTGATCGTTTTCAATGACACACTATAAATCCAGGGCCATTTTATTCATTTTTGCATTTTTGGCAAACATATTCCCTCAAATATTTCTAAATTAGCATCTACACTGGTGCAAATTCATAACATAATCTGATTGTTTAGATGAAAAATATCCCAAAGAATGACTATGGTTTAAAATGCCTTGAGGTAAAAGAAGGTATTAAAGCATCAACACAGAAGAAAAAGGATGAAATAGACACAAAAATAAAGTTTAATTTGGTCATAAACTGTGCTCTTAAAATCATAAATTTCCAAAAGCAATTTCCAAACTGTCCCATAGAACAATAAAATGGCCAGACAATAGCTACTGCCCAGGCTGCTGCTTAGGGAGTCTACCTAGGTGGTCCTTAAAGGTTACCCATTTTAGCATCAAGTGGTGATTACAGCACTCAAGAGGTTCCTGTGGGATTTTCTTCAGACAGCCAAACACTGACAAATTGTCTGAACTATAACCTGGCTCTGCCTATTACTTAACTAGGTGAGCTTGGGCAAGTCAGTTAACCACCATGAGCCTGTTTTCTCATCAATAACAAGGAGATAATATTACTTGCCTCAAAGGGTTACTGTGAACAGAAAATTAAATCAAGATTATGAGGTATTTAGAATTATTATTATCATTATCATTATTTTACTACATTAGTTCCCCTCCCAATCCCCACTTACACTGTCACCATGACCGTACTCTCAGACACTTAGGCTAGAAAGGAGAGTCTAGGTTAACTGCACATAATTTAACATTTTCTAGTAAATAAGAGACATAAGGCATTGTGTCCCTACTTTTCAAGTCTACTAAGTGAACTCCTAAAAATTTCCCAAGGTGAATTACAAGTTTAAGGAGAGGCACATGAATATAATCCTAAATATTTATATTTATACAAAACAACATCTTACAAAGCGAAAGCTGTTTTTACAACACATATTACCCAGTCTGATCTTCACAGAAATTAGGCTGATAAGACAAATGAATATTATCTGCATCTATGAATGAGGAGACTGAAGCTCAGGGAGGTTAAGTGATTTGCTCAAAATCACCCAATTAATCATAAGAAAAGTGAAATCTATAATCAGGTGTTCTATCTTTGGGTCAAAACCAAGCTCTTTTAGCATGAAAGACAGGTCTTTCACGATCTGATCCTGGCTCCTTCTCAGTCTTTCCTACACTCCAGCCAGGTCGTCTGTTCTCCAGAGCTTCCTTTTATCTCTTTGCAGTGGCTGTTCCCCTGCCTGGAATGTCCCTTCCATCCGTGTACACCTGGTAAGGCTCTTTCTTTCCTTCAAGACTCAAGCCATGTGTCATATCTTTACCCATCTCCCCAGGCAGAGTTGAAAGCTTTTCCTATATAATTCAACACCCTGAGTACAAGTCTCTTCTTGCCACGTGGTGTGAACACAAGAACCACTGCTTTTCTTGACACTCTCTGCCTCTAGCCTTAGACCTTCAAAGCCTGGCCCGTGTCTGCTCATATCGTTGGCTTGAGCAGCCAGCACAGTATCAAGCACATAGGAGGTGTTCAATAAATGTTTAGATATAGGATGTTTGGGTGAAGAAATGGTTATCTAGTTGCTTGGAGGCTTCCCTTTAGGAAATCATTCTCTCTCAAGATATACCTAGTGTTTTAACCAGAGAAAGACTAAAACTTACGTGGTACAAGGGTTACAGTGTTCGCACAGAGATACGTTACAAAAAAAGTTTGGTTTACATCTGCACTTGGTATTCTGGGTCCGGGTACAGTTTTTTTCCACTTCTAGGCCTAGAAAAACAATTCGCAGACTATTAATTAGAGCAGCTAGTTATAAATGGACAATGAAAAGGATGGGCAGGAGCTGCATAGATTTTTGAGTTCCAGCACTTGTTAGCAGTCACACCATCACACCTTTAGTAACACAACTAGCATTTAAATGCCAAATACGCAACCCCAGGTTGAAAGAGTTGAAATCGTTTAGCAGAGTTTTAAGTAGACAGACAATCCAGCAACCTAGATAACCCCACCTGTACTTAAATGGCTCCCTTTTTCTCATCTAGAGCCTGGCTACTCCAAGTATGGCTTAGAGACCAGCAACATCAGCATCACCTGGGAGCTTGTTAGAAATGCAGAGTGTCAGGCCCTGACCCAGGCCTACTCAATCAGACCAATGCCAAAACCCTCACTTAGAGATTCTGATTTTATTGCTCTGAGACGGGACCTAGGTGTTGGCATTTTTCGGAGCTTCCTGTTTGATTCTAATGTACAGCTAGGGTTGAGAAACACTGCTTTAGAGCCTAAATAGGGAGAAGAAAAGCTTTACATCCAGAGAGTTCTTGATGTCTAACAAAACTGGGAATACTTCCGTTTTATTTTAATCTGAACCCTCAAGATAGATTGGGATATCCATGAAAATTCAGGTCCCCAATTGGAATTATCAGGACAAACCAGATCCCCAAAGAAGGGGGAGCAAACCACCCACCTCTTGGGTTCCTCTGTCCTTGTATCTGAAGGAGTCTGAGCTCTTTCTGGCTAAGAACAAAAGCCATTATACAAGCATAAATCAAAGCAGGAAAAAAAAAGTCCCCGCAGTTTTGATTGGAGCTCATGGACCCTGTTCACCATGTTTACGTTTAGTCATTCTCCTACATCTGGGAGAATTGCCTAGACTTGACTCATAAATGTCACTCAGTACCTGGTCCTGCTTCACCCCAGCCAGGCCCATCCTGTCCCTCCTGTATGCTGACATAGTGCCAGAATAGGTCCCAATTTCAGACTGTATTATACATGGTGATACATGCAGTACCATGATTGGTCCCTTTTGATTGTTTATTAAGACACTTACCATGTTCTCCATCACAAACTCTACATCTTCTGCAGTTAAAAGAATGATGGTTCTTGTCTGTGTACTCCACCCCCTCTGCACAGAGTACACATTCTGGTTCACCTCCATCAATTTTGCAATCATCACTTTTCCGTTTGCCTGCCCAAGAAAAAAAATGGAGCAAGTGTTTAAATGCAAGGTAGTCAGGCAACAGCAAGGGAAGTCTGAAGGGATGATAATAAAACAGGAGTGGAGGGGCTAAGCTAATGAAATATAAATATAGTAGGGGAGAAAGTTGTAAAAATCGTGGCAAGAGACAGAATTTCTCCCAAGACAAAAGCTAAAAGAGTCACTAAGGAATATGCCTACAGAAGTAGGATGATTAAAAATAGGAGCATATAAAACAGAGGTTAGAATCATCAAAAAAGCACTAGAAGAGACGCCTTTACCAACTTTGGGGGGAGGAGAAAAGAAGGTTGCTAGGTATATATTCATGGTAGAGATGACTGCCACTGGCCACTGAGGTTACCTAGTTAATTCTTGTTTCTCTGACTTATTTTACTTTCCAAAGTCCACAAATCCTGACAAGGACAGTATTGTTTAAGGAAGAGAACATTTGAAGTTCTAAAGACTTTGGTCAAATATTTAATAGCAACAATATCTTTAACAAAGTGCTTAATCTGGGACTTCCCTGGTGATCCAGTGGTTGAGAATCCACCTTCCAATGCAGGGGATGCAGGTTCGATCCCTGGTCAGGGAACTAAGATCCCACATGCAGTAGGGCAACTAAGCCTGCGTGCCACAACTACTGAGCCTGAGCACTACAACTAGAGAGCCTGCATGCCGCAACTACAGAGCCCTTGTGCTGCAACTACTGAGCCCATGTGCCACAACTAGAGAGAAGTCAGTGCACTGCAACAAAAGATCCCACGTGCCTCAACTAAGACCCAACACAGCCAAATAAAACAAAAGAAAACAAACAAAAATAAGTGCTTAATCTCTCTAAGCCTAACTTCCTCATGCCTATGATGGAGATAATCATACTTCTCCTGCATGGCTAACATTACTGCACAGGACCTGCCTAGTAATTGCTCACAGTTCCCTTTTCACTCCCCTTTCTTTCTATTCCTTTGCCGTTAAGGGACAGAATATGTTATGATGTGCAGGCATGAACGTATTTACAACAAAATTTATTACCAGGTTTGCTATCTTAATATGCAAAAGTTTAAATCATATTCGCATTTACTTTTATTTACTTTAAAAATAAAATGAGTCATTGGATTTCTATTAGTAAGCATTATACAACAATGCCTTCTGGAAAATTCATTTATTTAAGAAGCGTTTATTAAATACCTATTGTGTGCCAGGCACTTTCTGGGAGCTGGAGATACTGCAGGAAATAAGACAAAGCCTGGTCTCCAAAGGCTTCACATTGTCAAGGCAGAAGCAGGCAATGAACAAATAAATACAAGACGGCAAGTGGTGATAAGTGCTGTGGGGAAAGCTAGTTTAGGGCAAGTGAATAGAGAATGAAGATGAAAGAGATAGAAAATATAAAGGGAAATCTAAGAGAAAAGCCTGACTAGTGACTGTAATTATTATGTTATAACTAATTTAAAAGAATAGGCAAAATCTAATCTGCCCCCCTCGCATGTACAGCAAAAATAATTTATGCTCTTTCCCCAGGTACATGACTTTCTTAACAACCTCATAGCATTCTTTTTTTTTGTCTTTTAAAAGAAAATTTATTGTAACATTTCAGACAATTACTTTACATGACTGTTCAGAAAATATTCTCATTTTAGATCCCATGACAACAACAACAAAAGATTAGTAGAACAACAACAAAAAAGATTAGTATACAGAGAAGGTGAAAGAAGGAACACTGGAGATCTAGATTAAATTTGAAAAGAAAATTCCTCAGTAACAGTAGCTCCTTGCCATTCATGAGCAATATGTTATAAAACCAACACAAATACTCAATTTCACTTATTCCAGTACAGCATGTAGTTTCCATCCAGAAGAATGCAAGTAAAATGTATGTGCACCCGTCAGATCCATAACAATTCTTATAATGGTAATAATAAATGACAATATTAACACTTATTAAGCCAAGGACTCTGCTAAACACTATTAACACATTTCCATTTAATGTTCACAATAATCATAAAAGGTCAGAACTATTATTATGTCCATTTTACAGTTAAAGAACCAGACTCAAAGATGTCAAGTAACTTGCCAAAGGACATGAAGCTTGTTAATAGCTAGGAGGACCAACCATCCCTGTTTGCCCAGGATGTGGGACTTTTAGTGCTAAAATTGGGGACGTCTCAGGCAAACCAAAATATGTTGGTCATCCTCTAAGCGTCAGATGGAGGATTTGAAAGCAGGGACTGATGCCAGAACTTGAGCTATTAAACATTATTCAATATCTGCTTGGTAAAGATTTCAGCTACCATGTTACAAACTAAGACAAAACTTTTGAAGTGTTACCACATCTGGTAAAGTGTAGGAGTTTACATTCCAAGACTGGAAGCTCCCTGAAGTCAGGGGCTCTGTCCTGTTTCTCTGCCTTCATCTCACAGTCCCCATGGCTTGTCTGCTGCACTGGAGAATGTGTGCCCTGGGACATGCTTCTTCACTTGCTTTGCCTTTTCCTTTTTAACACTGTCCCATAACTCTCTCTCTGAAGTCAAAGCTTCCCCATTTGCCTTCCTGGGATCACTCTATGGAGGAATTATTTACTTGGTATGCCCACTCTGGATGCCAAAAACCTAACTGCAAATGGTGATTAGTACACAGTTCAGCACATTACAATGTCTTTACGTTTTCCCTAATTTAGGACTTTGAAAAGGATTAGTCAATGTGGCAGAGATCCCTGATTGTCACCCAATATCCATTTTCCCTTCTCCCATAGGAATAGGATATTTACCAGGGGACATGGCTGCCCTGAGTCAAGACTACATCTCCCAGCCTCCTTTGCATGGCCATGTGACTAAGTCCCAGCCAATGGGATGTTAGCAGAAGTGTCCAGTAATACCTTCCAGGATGTCAGGATGTTCCCAGAGCTGGTGTGCAGTTTAAGTCTAAAGTTTCATCTGCTGTATGTGCATGAACAGCAAAAATAATGTAAGCTGCCTCTCCTAGGAACATGACTTTCTTAATGATTTCATAGCATTCTTTTTGATAAAACAAAATACTACATAAACAAATTATGAAATTTAAACATATACAATATTTTAGTAAACAAAGGCAATGATAGGTCAATAGAAAAAAAAATACATTGTGGAAACTCAGAACCAAATTTAAATACAGTGCATAAGGGTTCTATACCATTGCAGCAGTATGTTTAAGAAAACCAAGCCAAAGTACAACTTTAATTGCTTGTCAGTGGAATTATACTGCTTTCTAAATGAATTGGCCTCTTTAATGAATTACCTTGCAGAATGTGCCTGGCACAAGGCCTACAGCATGACAGGGATACAATATCACAAGTTCTTTCTTTTTTCCAATGTATACAACCTAAATTTATCAAAATATTTAAAAAGTAGTTGTTTTCTTGAAAATAATATTTTAAAATATATTTGTTTCTGAGTATAATAGTACATATGCTCATTGTAGAAAATTTGGAAAATTTAGGAAAGTGTAAAAAGCACCTATACATCAACCACTCTGAGATACTGTTTTCATTTTGGTGCATTCCTATGCATATAAACACACACATATATACATGTGAGTATATGTGTGTGTGTGCATATATATGTGTGTATGTGTGTATATATATATATATATATATATATATATATATATATATATATAAAAAATGTATGCAGTGTACCATAGAATCCTTCTTATTGGATATGGTGATGTGATGAGGACTTTTTTGATTAAAAATGTCAGTTCACATAAGGGATCATTGAAAAAAATACTGTCAATATTTCAATTTATAAAATATAACTATATAATTATTTGCCACTCTTGTGATGTAGAAACAAGTTATTAGAATTCTACAGTCTTTCTCACTTAAGTCACATCCAAAATGCATCGCCTATGATTTCCTTTTTCTTTTTTGGAGGCAAAATCTGACTTCATCTTTATTTTATTTATCTATTTATCTTTGGCTGCGTTGGGTCTTAGTTGCAGCACATGGGATCTTTGTTGCAGTGCACAGGCTCTGTAGTTTGCAGCACACGGGCTCTCTAGTTGAGATGCGTGGGCTCCGTAGTTGCGGCATGGGGGCTTAGTTGCCCCGTGGCATGTGGGATTTTAATTTCCCGACCAGGGATCAAACCCGAGTCCTCTGCATTGGAAGGCAGATTCTTAACCACTCGACTACCAGGGAAGTCCCTGATTTCCTTTCTCCCTTTCTTTCTTTCTTTTCTCCTCCTTCTTTCTTTTCTTTCTTCCTTTCTCTTTGATGGAAAGAAAACTTAAAGACACCAATAATCTGTATGAAAGGCGTTAACATTTTTGTGATTTTTCCATGTATTTTGCCTCCACCTAATACATTAACATTTTTTTTAGTAACCCGACTTTACTGAAATCCTCCAAAGCATTCAAAATAATTTTCATAGAAATAAAATCTGTTTTTTCTGTGTATTCATATATTGGTTTATGTAATATTTAATTAAATTACATATTAATATCACAACACCAATGAGCATAAACAAATTTGGAAGCAATCTGAATATTGATAAGCTTAAAATTAAAAAAAAAAAGGAATAGAAGTAGAAAGAGTGTTTAGTATATATTGGACACCATCCAGGATCTTTTAGAGATGGAGCAGAGAGAATCAGTTAATCCAGCCAGCGGATCAGTTAGAAATCTCTTAAGGGAATTTATATACATTGAGGCTTATATCAGAAATATATCAGAAAACATGACTTTGATTGATACATAATATTCCAGTCTTTGAATACTCCAAAATTTACTTAATCTTACATCATTGGGTATCATAGTGAAATGTCATGCATACAATATTTTCTTTTATTTTTGACTATTTTCTTAAGACATTTTTCTATAAACCTATTACTGTATCAGTGTATTTTCAAAGTTTTGATCCACATATCCAAATTTCCTTCTTAAAAGGTTTTTTTAACAATTTACATTCCAAGAATGACATATGAGAGTTATCTCACAAGCAAACTCACCAGGACTGAGATCACTTCTAAAACGAAAATAAAACAAAGCAAAACAAACAAACAAAAAGCAAACAAAGTCCTTAACAGTTTGATATTCAAAGCTTATTATCTTCATTTTAATTTGCATTTTAGGTTTTAAAAATAGGAGTAAAGGTCTCAATTCACAGGAAAAATAGATGGTGTTTAGCAAGTTACAAAAAAGCCAGAAAGCCATTCTTCATTCTCATTTGGAAAAGAGTAAATGTGAATATGCTTAAATGTAAATGGGTTAGATTATCAGAGATTTTCCATAAGGGTTATTAAAACCTGGAGAGAAGGCCAAGATGGACTGTTAGAATCTTTTTATAAACAGGGCCCATGCCTGTTTAGCAGCTAGAGTGCTGGAGGCCTGGAGAGCCAAACATGAAACTTACCACCGTCCTTTATGGTTCTATTAATCTATCGCATATGCCCATGTGTTGTTTTCCTTTATCTTCCTGTTTTCCTTCACAATGCAACTGGGAGATCCATATCTGTATAAAATAGTAGTCAACTCTACTCCATGTTGAAAAAAAAGTCTGCCCAATTGCATTTTGCTTAGCTTCCAATTTGCTACTGTTTGAAGGATTTCCAATCTGAAATTGGTTTTCATTTCAAAAATACTGATTTTAAAAAATGGTTGGTTTTTCTCCATTGCTTTCCTAGCTTATCTAGTTATTTGGTTGTAAAATGCAAATGTATTTTGCAGGCTTCAGTGCTAGGACAAACAGCTTTCTCAGAGACTTTCTGATCGAAGGGAAGTGTTGAGACATCTCTTAAGGATAGAAGTCCCTTGCTTTCAGAGCTCCACAATTATTATGATATATTCTCACCAGTCTGATGTGCTAAGTTTTAATATCCACAAATTAGTCTGCTTTTGCTATTGAAAAATGGAGCTAAATAAATAAATCCTCTCATTTCTGAGGTACATGTCATTTATAAATTATATTTACTTATTCTCACATCAAACCAGTGTGATAAAGATGACATAAGCTGGTCTTCGGAAAATAATGTCATATTTTTTTTCCTTCCCAGTCAGGCCATAATGCAGGAGAACTAAACACTATAAAAACACTCTCTTCGGGGCTTCCCTGGTGGCGCAGTGGTTGAGAGTCCGCCTGCCGATGCAGGGGACGTGGGTTCATGCCCCGGTCTGGGAAGATCCCACATGCCGCGGAGCGGCTGGGCCCGTGAGCCATGGCCGCTGAGCCTGCGTGTCCGGAGCCTGTGGTCCGCAACAGTGAGAAGCCCACGTACCGCAAAAAAAAAAAAAAAAAAAACACTCTCTTCATTATTATTATATGCTACTCCTCACCCTGATTTTCATTCTGATCGCTAGATTTTTTTTGTATAACATACCAGGAGGACACGGCTGACAACAAAATTCGTGCTCACGATACAGGCCTTCACCGCAGCTCTCCCTTTTAGTAATATTCTTACTCAATTTCAGCATCTCAGAGTTGCTATCAGCCACATGGGAATTATCACCTTTAGACAATGGTCCAGCAATGGAGGTAAATATCTGTAAATGAAAAACATGAAGAGAATTTTACTGACTTCTGAACTAAGCAACTTGGTAAACAGGTGTAAGTCGCCCCAAATGGCTGTATTTTATTTGCCATGCACAGGCAAAATCAACGTGGGTTCCATCCTTCCACTGACTCATCTCCAAAAAAGGAGCAGATCAATTGCATGACAGTCCAGATCTTGGGTTCTCCAAACTACCCGAGAAACGGCATCACGGATGGTAGGAGCCACAGCTCTGGGCTCAAAAGTCACGGCTCCCACTTAGCAGCCCTATGATTGAGGGGAAAGTCACTTAAATTCTCCACGTCTCTGTTTTGTTATCTATAAGGTGGACATAATCTCTTCTTCATAGGTTTGCTGTGATGTTTGCTTCTATAAGGTGGACATAATCTCTTCTTCATAGGTTTGCTGTAATGCACTTCAAGTTCTTAGCACAATTCCTCACACATAATAAATAGGTGGCTGGTAAGCAGTATTATTATTAAGTTCCAGTGAGGGACAACATAGCAGAGTAGGAAAAAACATGAAATTTCAAAACGACTGCGGTTTGAATCCCAGCTCTGCTGCCAACACTGACTTTGGGCAAGTTAAAGGGCCTCACTGATCCTCAGTTTCCTGATCTGTAAGTGACAACAGTATTTTCTGTCTTGAAGGGTTATTGTGAGGATAAAAAGTGATAATTTCTCCCAATCCTGGTACTTAGCTTACAGCATGTTCTGTTTCTTCCTTTTTTATATATAGCAATAGAATCTACAGTTTTGATGAACTCCTTCCTGGTTATCTAACCATACAATAAATCCAACAGGATTTTCTTCACTTTTATTCAGGAAAAATGAACTTCTCTTAATAGAGAACCAATCTTTATTATTTGTTCCTTTTTTCTGGAGACAAACCCATAGGTCCAAGTGACACTGTGTCAAATTCATCTTAGTTAGGCTTGAGCTCCTTAGAAAAATGAGCCTCTAAAATGTATGGAAACATTTGGAGGTAATGTCTGTTTGATTCCTTTCTCAGGTTTTCTAAACATTTATTGTTTGTCTCTCTAAACACAAATACACATAATTTTTCATCTTATGTGGAATATGTAAATTCATTGCTAAGCATCAAAAAATTTTAAACTACTGGTTCTGAGGATTTTTCCCTCAAGGTCATTTTTCATAGTTTTCATGGTATACTTTTTTCCTTCTACTTTATGGCATCTTCTGGGTCAAGGGAACTAAATATTCTTCACGTATAAATCACTGCCACAGGAGTCCCCACATCTTCCCTTTTAGCCCTTCCCCCTTTGTCACCAAAGCCTGCATCCCTTCTAAGTCACAAGATACCATGGGACCTCCAAGGAAGGAGGGACGAAGGAGATGCGGTTGCCATCTTTTCCTCCTGGGATGGATGTATTGATGTACTGAAAAATACATTTCTAACATCCAGACTCCAGGAGGGAATATCACACCAAAATATCAAGAAAATACCTGACTTATCCAGGGTCACTCATGAGCAAAAGGTAGAGAGCTAGGACTTGTCTGAGTCTCCTCACTCTTATTACAGTGTTTTTTCCCCTACACCCAACTCACCATAAAATACAGCTTACTTTCTCTATATGAACAATTCTATGTAAAGAATAATTGGAAATGGTAAACAGATCAGAGGAATTATGCCTAAATGTACTGGCTTCACTATCAAACCACTGCCTTTTTAACCCAACAGACATTTCACTAGCACCTTCTATGTGCCAGGTTCTGTGAACACAGAGACAAGTAACATCGATTATAATCGAAAATGAATGTTAAGTTTCCAAAAGCAGATTTGCACATGGGCATATTATTTGTAATGTATTAATCATTGGGGGATTTTTAATGTTATATTTGCATGACTCTTACTTTTTAAAACACATTTGAATCTATGATCTGCTTCTAAAGCAGCTTTGAACAAAAAGTATTTATTAGTATCAATTTCTCTTTTCAAGATGACAGTTCCCCGCTTCTTACCTTTTCTACAGAAGGTCATCCTGTCATCCTGTTAATATTAGTCCCTCTTCCAGATCAGAGCATCAATAGCTAATGAACAGTAACTGAATTGGGCACTTTAGGAAATAATAACGTGATTGAAATCACACCAAAGGGTTAACTGCTAAGATGGGAAGGGCGTTCAAATGAAAGTCATTCACCTTTTAGGACCCTTACTCTATAACAAACTTTGTTCTATTTGACAGTCAGAAATTAAATATACTAACCATGTAACATTCCAGACATTGCCAGCACATGAAAATTCTCAAACAAATGTAAAAATCTCTGTAGCTAGAAGAAATCAGTAAGTCCTTTTTGCAAGAGATAATGGAAAACAGAATCTAGGCAACCAAACTGAGTAGACACAACTCCTTTCTGTTATCAGCCACCTCTGTTGCTGGGAAGAGGGACTTAACAGTGAGATGTTACTTGCTCTCCTTCTCTTTCAATTCTGGTTTCTCACCAGAAACTGAAGAAAATGACACAGATTTAAACTCAAAGAGATCTGAGTCAAAATTGGGTAGCCAAAATTGACAAGTCAAAGGTGCTCAAAGTTGATACCCAATAGTGTGTGGATGTGTGTGTGTGTGTCCCCTACAGCTATAGGTCCCATCCTTTCCTTGGTAAGCTAATTTCATCCAGCAGTCATGTGACAATATTACAAGCAGGTCCACAATTCCTGGTTTAAATGATCAAGCACTCAGAGAGTGCTTAACATTTATGTAATGTAACATTTATGAATTGTTACCTTAGTGTTATTTCTAAAAAAACTGTGCATATACTAAACGTTCTGGAGATGTCTAAGAGAAATGTACTTTCTAATTTTGCTTTAGTTTTGAAGTTTTTGACTGGAAATCAAAACCCACTGTTCAAAAATACATTCAGAATTTGAGAAATGTGAATCTTGGAGTAGAACAGTGAAAGACATAAACATCACTGGCCATGGAGCAGATACCAGTGCCAAACTCATCTCATATTTGATCACACCTGCTTCACAGAGCTGAATTTCTGGAAACATTTCCTACTTAGTTCAGCATCAAAGAATTATGTCGAGGATAAAAAAAGAAAAATGGGTCTAAAGAGCATGTTCTAACTCTTACAAGATATTATGTAAGCAGTGTTCCACACAGCTTGTGTTTTTTTAAGTTTTTGCATTAGCTCAAGTTTGTAGTATGCAAAGATTTAACCCAAACTTTCCAGGCAGAAACTGGGGTGTTTTTGACTGTGACAAGGCAGGAAACCCACAAAGAACTAAGTGATCAGAATGCTCAAAAAAATTTTTTTTCAAAAAAGCTGAAAAGGCCAGAAAATCAGTTAAATCAAAGATGTGAAAAGTGGATAAACTAAGGCAAATGATAACCAAATGGGAAAAAAAGGAATACAATTAATTTAAAATTTCCATCATGACAAAGATTCAAAAGTCAGAGAGACCTCAATTTTATATTCCGCTGGGAATAATATTAGCTAACACATTAATCAATTACTTAAATGAGTAAATACTTTGTTGAGTACCTACTATGTGCTAGACAGACATCCAAGAACAGAGCAGTAAACAGATAAAGACTTAGCTCTCATAGAGTTTATATGGAAATGAGGTGTACTGTATTAGTCAGGGTTCTTGAGAGAAACAGGACCAATAGTGCTTGTGTGTGTGCGCACACACGTGTGTGTGTGTGTGTGTGTGTGTGTGAAGAGAGAGAGATTGATTTATTTTAAGGAATTGGCTCACACAACTGTAAAGGCTTGCCAAGTCCAAATTCTGCTGATGGGGTAGGCCAGCATGCTGAGGAGTCAGGGAAGAGCTGCAGCTCAAGTCCAAAGGCAGTCTGGCAGAACTCCTTCTTCCTTAGGGAATCTCAGTCTTCATTCTATTAAGGCATTCAACTGACTGAATGAGGCCCACTCACTTACAGAGGGTATCTAACTTACTCAAAGCTTACCAATTTAAATGTACAAATCAACCAAAACAAAAAAACAAGCAAAACTGTCGCAGAAACATCCAGAATAATGTTTGAGCAAATATCTGGGTGCCATGGTCCAGTCATGTCGACACATAATATTAAGCATCGTGTGGAGGGAAATGATAAAGAAACAAAGAAATATGTCAAGGAGGAATAAGTGCTATTTAAAGGAATAAAGCAAGCTTGGGGGCATGGAGAGTTTGAAGGGTGAGGTAGTGATGTTTTAGGAAGAGTGGTCTGGGAAGGCCACAGAATAAGAAGACATTTGGGCAGTGACTTGTTGCAAGTGGATGACTAGCTGGGAAGGGCTTTCCAGGCAGGTCACACCTAGAGGAACTTGGCTTAGCCCAAATGGGGACATACCTGAGGACCTCAGCAAAAGCATTATTAGCAGCTAGCTATTAAGAGAGTTAAAGGTAAATGTCTCCTGAATCACACTGGTAATTAACATGTTGACCACTGAAGCCACAGTGGGATCATACAGCCAATCATAACCATAGACGCTGCAGTCTCGTAGCATCCTGGAACGTCAAAGCAGAAAGGGACCATATGAGCATCTGCTCAGCTTCAATATAGATTTTAAAAATGGATCTCCTTGCATCTTTCATTATCTACAGGATTTTAATATTTTCTGCAAATCAGAAAACTTGCTTCTCTCTCTCCTTCTGAATTGTTTGTGAAAATGTTAAGTCAGGAAACCAAACCCTAGACATTTGCCTAGCTTTTTACAAAGTTCATTCACACACATCACCTCGTGGTCATCGCAATAAATCTACACATGAGGAATTATTACGGCCTTATTTTATAGCCGAGGAAGCTGAGCACAGAGTATATGAAATGACTCGTCCAATAACCCACAGTTAGGACTGGCCAAGGGAGGACTCGACAACGCTGGCCCAAACACCTCTGGGCTGTTTCAGGTTTACAAATTACTTTCCTAGTTGCTTTCTCCACATAGGCACACAAACAACTCAATTTGTTTTCAGACAATTGTTCGCAAGACGCCTGTGTGTTAATTATACAATGAACCT